TTCTTTATGCCTATTGTGTATAGTACTGATCATCTGTATCATGGAACGTGTCCAATAAATGTAAACTGCGTGTTTGACTATGACACATAAGTCTGCTTGGCCCTGCTTAATCTTCACAGGAGCTCGGTAAGCATGGCTATCAGCTTCCAGTGCTCAATGTCCTTCCAATGCACTTCGCATAAAATCTCAGCTTCTTATCCTGACCAACGAGGCCATATTCAATGTGCCCTACTGGAACCTAAGCTCCTGCCTATGGCCACACAACCCTGAATGTGCCCAGTCTCAACTGAATGTGAGCTCCTTAGAGCTCACAGCTGTACAGTAGTCGTCACTAACATGCCCCGACTCGTAAGTACAATGCTTCACAAAATACAGATGGTCAGAAAATCTTTGCTGAATGAATGGCTATCTATGTACACTCCTTCTTCTGTCACTAACTACATCCTGAATGAACTGAGTAGCTTCAAAATAACACTCAATTTATTCTTACAGAACTCAAGAACAATTAGCTTACCATTGTGCTTGCTCTACGGGCTCAGAACCAAGCACAACAGGTATAAACACATACCAGGTCATAAATGGCAGCATTCCCCAAGTTTGTTTCCAAGGACATCAGTGCCACAAAATATTCTTTTTCAATGGAGCTCAAGTGTCCTTTTTGTTTGTGTGTGTGTGGCATGGGGGACTGACCTCAAGGTCTTTGCACTGAGATACATCCCCACCCGTCTTTATTTTAGACAAGGTCTTTCTAAGTTATTAAGTGGCTGGGGCTGGGCTCTTACTTTGGATCCTTCTGCCTCAGTCTCTCACAGTGCCAGGATCATGGGCCCGTACCACACCTGGCCAAGTGTCTGTATACCTAACTGTCCATTAGTATCTCCACTTGGATAGCTCAAGCAACATCTCAAATCTGTATGTCCCAAAGTGACATGATTTTTACCCTCTCAGTAAATGGCAATCATCCTTCCAGTAGCTCAGCTCAAAACCTCTTAAATTTCCTGATCACTCTTCCCATGAGCTAATTAGTCTATTCCATTAGTCCAACCCATTCGCTGATCATGTTGCCTCAATCTTCAAATTGTATTTAGAATCTCAGTACTTCACATGCTTTCACCATCCTGGTCCAAGCCACTATTTTCTCTTCCCTGGATTATTACAAATGCCCCCTTGCTGTCTCCCTGCTTCTGTCCCTGGCCTTCCAGAGGGATTCTTCCTAAAGCCAAGTCAGATCACATCCTGCCCCATGTGTGAGGTACAGGAAAGGGTTTGGAGCAGGGCAGGACACCTGTAAAAACATCCCCAAACAGTAGGAAACTCTGGTCCAGAAATTGCGAAACTACAAGAAAGAACTTAGAGCCTTCTGACTCTGAATTTTAGCTCAAAAATGAAAATACTTGCTAATAGGTAAGTATTACCTATTAAACACTGTACCTTGCAAAACACTGTAGGAAACTCTGGTCCAGAAATTGTGAAACTACAAGAAAGAACTTAGAGCCTTCTGACTCTGAATTTTGGCTCAAAAATGAAAATACTTGCTAATAGGTAAATGATGGCATGATTCAGTATTTAAAACACTAAACTGTAAGTATTCTCTGGCTATTTCTATAACAATTTCCTAAAAGGTACTGTGGGTAAGATCAAAAAGCTCAAGAGTTTTTGTTCCTGTCTTATATAAATTATCTTTCTGAGCCCAAGATTCACCTGTAAACTACTTAACCGGACCACTGCTAGGAAGACTGAGCATCATATCATCACTTATTCTATATCCAGGCCTGACTGTGGTTTCGGGTTCAGCACTCAATAACCGTCCACTATTTCTTCACAGATATGGAGTAAAGGATTTCTATTCCAAATTTCATTAAGAAAATATCATTAGCCTTTTTCCCCCTACAAGTGCAACTTTTAGGAATTAATTCTATATATTTTTTTCAGCACCTCATCCTGATTTCTGTTCTACAATCACTACCCTACACTCAGCAAGGCCAACCCCAGGTACCCCAATGATAGAAAGTGTTTTAAGGGAGGAAGATTTTGTAATACTTAAAAAACACAATTTGTATTTCAAAGGTGAAAAGACTTATAGCTTCAGTAAAAGAAAAGCTCAACATCATTTTTTGGTTGATGAGGATGTACTCTGCCAAAGAAATATCCCACTGGGGTGTTGTGACAATTGTATGTTCATCAAGAGGAGTTAAAGGTTCTTTAAAAGTCTGATAAATTATTGTCTAAACCAATTCCATACCAATGTTTACAGGTTAAAGGGGGCGGGGGGAGCTCCACCACATAATGTTAAGTGAAGTAAACTAGACACACAAGTTTAAATATGAAATGGTTTCTCTCATATGAGAAACCCAAGGTATAAATAAGTTAAACAGCAAAATAAAAGAGATAATAGGAAACAGAGAAATAGATCTTTTTGCAGATGGGAAGAGGACCAAGAGATGGAGGAAAGGAGAAAAGGAGGAAAAGGGGATGTAAAAGAATCAAGATATATTATGAGGAATGTAATTACTGTGTACTGCAAAAGTACTAATAAAAATAAAAGTTGTAGAAGGGGGGTCTCCAAAAAGTTAGTAGGCAAGTCCAAATCAGAGAGTCAAAAAGTGGCTCAAAGTGCACTTAAAGATTGTTCTTAGGGGCTGGGGATTTAGCTCAGCGGCAAAGCGCCTGCCTGGCAAGCGCAAGGTCTTGAGTTCGGTTCCCGGTACCGGAGAAAAACCAAAA